TTGATAATTGAGTTTCACTCCTGAGGACTATAATATAACAGATTTATATTTAAGATTTCCTGCACATTGGTGATGCCTTCGATTGCCTCAATGCCTGTTCTGAGCGACAATCCACCGATATTGGCAAAACCACTACAACTAAAATATGCTTTCCATAGGCTGCAAACTAAAATACAAAATATCGAGGACGTATGTTCCCGATGAAAAATCGAAGTTACTGAATGATTGAAATTGCAGATTTTAACATGGCATGCATCTGAATAGCTCTTTCACTACACACATATTCAAATAATTGCAGGGGAAAGTTATGCACTTCGAAATTAAGCCTCACATCTAATAAAAATTCTTCTCTGAAATTTCTCCATAAGAAACACATACACATTTCGATTATCAGACCTATCACCACCTACGCTTTTCCAGCATGGGCTATAATTAAAAACAAAAATATTATGAAGTAGTGAATTTTTCAAAAAATTTCTTCGGAGGCTCACAAACGCTCCTTATTTTATAATAAACTAGGAGCTACTCTACCAGCCTTCGTCTGGCTTTTAAATGTACCGAAAAATGCCTGAAGCGAACACCAAACGTTAAATTTAAAAACTGCGGAGAATTTTTACTCTGCAGAACAACCTCATCTAAAAAAATTTGAAATGTTTTAGATTTTAAATTACGTCCAAAGGGGCGCTTTTTTAACATTTTGTGTGTTACATTTATTTATTAAATATAGCTTTCTTATTTCGCCCGCTTTCTTAGCGTGCTTTCGTGGTGTAGTGGTCTGCCTGCTGGGGCGGTATTCCAGAGGTCCGTGGTTCGATTCCCGGCGAAGGGTGTTTGCTCATTTTTCATCTTGCTTGCTTCTAAAAATACCTAATGTCTCTATAATAAAGGGATTTTAACAGCTGGAGACAAGGAATGCCTACGTTGTAACTCATAAACGGGAAATCACGGTTACTGTGGGATCAAAAGCACTAAAATTAGACCCCTGACAAACAAAAAAAAGTTGTTTTGCTCCAGTGAATCTCATTTTCTTCTCTACCATGCGAATGACAGAGTCAGAATGTAGCGCAAGAAATTCGTCTGGCCCCCTTCAAACTAGTGGCAGTGGAATTATCGTCTGGGGAATATTTTCTTGGAGTAGAATCGGTTCCTCAATGCTTGTCCCTTGAATAAAACTGTATTTTTAATAACAGATTTTTTTTATTTTATTTATTTTTTTTTTTTTTTTTTTTTTTTTTTATTTATGCTTTGTACTCTCTTTGTCGGTTTTTGAAATAATATTTAACATATCTGGAATCATCTGAGAGAAGAACGTAAAATAGTCTGGGAAATTTTAATTAAAACTAATGAGTTAGACAGATATGTTTTTAAATATGCAGTCTTCTTGCAAAAAATATTATACAAATATAAATTTTCAGAAAATTTTTCCCTACAAAAACATGCTTCCAACTTTTTAATTTTATAGTCATTCCCCTATGGAAAAATACGATTCGTGATAATCTTATTATAGGAAATAAGAAAATTAATTAAAATTGAGGGATAAAGAGAATGGTTCATTGTGATAAGAAGATACACCACAGCTCATACAGAATATTTTCAAGAGACTATTCCTCTTAAAATTTGTTTTTCCTTTTTTTTTTTTTTTTTTTTTTTTTTTGTATTTTGAAAGTTGAAACTTTTTTCAATTTTTGAAAACTTAAGTTCACAGACGGGAGAGGACTAGCAGACTAAGGAATAAGTTCACGTATATTTTAAAAAATAATAGATGGTTGAATAATTTACTATATGATGTTTTTCAGCTTAATGTTTTCAACGTTATTCTTTCACATAAAATGGCTAAAAATGACAAATTTCTTAAAATATTCACATAACAAAACAAAAAAAAAAAAAAAAACTACATAAAATCACTGAATTCAATAGAAAGAGGTCTTCAGATTTTTAATCAATTTTTTATGTGTCATTAAAACAGAAGTGCGTACACTTAATGGCCAAAGTATTATAAGTTGCCTCTATTGTTTTATTAAGGACGAGTATGCCAGTAACGTACAACCAGGAACCGCTTACATAAGGCATATGCTAATCTTGTGATGAAAGAGCTATCACTATGCGAAAATGAAAACGAAAAATTCGAATGACTTCGAACGAAACGTGATCATGAGTGCAAAATGACTGCATTCCAGAATCTCTAACATGAAGAATGTTCCAGGTTTTTCTAGGTTTTTTTTTTTTTTTTTTTTTTTTTTTTTTTTTTTTTTTTTTTTTTTTTTTTTTTTTTTTTTTTTTTTTTTTTTTTTTTTTTTTTTTTTTTTTTTTTTTTTTTTTTTTTTTTTTTTTTTTTTTTTTTTTTTGTTCATTTTGGGTTTTAGGCAGTGATAACTGAGCCCAAAAAAACCAAGCAGTAAGGACAATTTTGGTTGAGAAATGATGGGGAATGAAAAGGGTAAAAGTCGACTTGCCCAAAGCAGTCCCAACAAAGAAATGCAAGAGCAATACTTATTGTAATTAAATACAATTTAGATGCATCAAAAAGCATATCGGAAAGTACAATATGACTGACATTTCAAAGGATGGATTTTAAAGATAGACCATCAAAAATGTCTATGTTATTATTTAAAAAAAAAAGGAAACCACTGTTGCAATAGATTCAAGAACACCAAAACTGGGCTCCTGATGATTGGAAATTGAATGAATGACTTAGCCAATGAATTTCATTTCTTTCTCTATTATGCCGATGGCAGCGTCAGAACAAACAGAACAAATTCACGGATCGTTCTTGCCTAATGATAACTTATTAAGCTGCGGCAGCGTCAAAACAAACAGAACGAATTCACGGATCGTTCTTGCCTAATGACAACTTATTAAGTTCCACTTATATTTTCTTCGGACCAGTATAAATCCGATGGAAATATATTTTTTGAGTGCAGTATAGGTCTTTTGATATACCTGAAAATAACCGTCTACACCACACAGCTTACCTCAACAGCGCTGCTAGTTACATACACTTGTTTGTAGCTGCGATATTCTCTGACGTAAGCTTTCATGTTCATCAGAAAAGTGCACCTTTCGCAATTGATCTTAAACTGATTTCAAGAGCATGATTCGGAGTTCAAATTGCTTCCCATTGTCTTGAATAGGATTGAACTGCATTTTAGACGGCATCACTAATACTTTAACCACTCAGCATAGACCATCTAAAATATTAGTGTTGCATTAAACAGCAATTTGGTATAAAGGTGTTCGCTTTTAATATTTTGCAATGTATGGTCAGAAGAGATGAATGAGAATAGAATTAATATATTAGTAGACATTCAAATAGCAAAGAAAAATATTTAAATTAAAATAATTATAATAATAATAAATGCAGATTAACAAATTACACTGAAATTTTTTCACGTTAGAGGATTTAAATTAAATCCACGTGAGGGTCAGTACTGATTCCGCTTGCAAAATTGCCATTATATTCAGATTAAACGCAGTTTGGCAGGAAAATTTAGGGCCTAACATTGGCTAGTAAGTTATATTAATTGTGGTTCAGTCTACCTTCTACTAGCATTAACACCGAATGTCTAAACGAATGTCTTAGCCAGTTTCATAATATCCTAGGACTTTTGCGCTGATTGGAAATTTTAAGGTATGAGCAACGTGCCATAACCAACCGGAGGACTAAAAATTCTCCTAAAAGAAGAAACTTCAGAATGAGAAGGTAAAAGTTTATGAGTTCATCTTCTTAATAATTTCCTGCGGTGAAAGCGATTTAAAAGCAATTAAATCCTTTCAAAATCCATCAAATAATGAATAATTCATTACTGAACATGAAAACAATAAAATCACCTTGTCTTCTAATTCGTGAAATTCTGTAAAAGCTTCCGCTACTTTAAAATAAACTTGCGATGGCTAATTTTTCCTATAGAGTTCTCGCTGTCTTGATGTCTTTTAACATAGAAAGAGTTTTCTGGAAAATGCTCCTACTTTAATCTTTAAGTATATGCGTAATTATTTTGTATCTATTTCGCTGCTGCTTTAATTTCTTTTGGAAGTTTGACAAGAGTTTCTTTAGCATTCTGCTTTTAGATGGAATTTCTTCTAATGTAAACTCAGAGAAGATATGGAATCATCTTTAATATATGTAGAACTTATTGGTTTTAGGTTTAGCACGTGGATATTTTTACTTCGTTGGCAAAATAAAGTAATGGGCCATTTTTCTTTTTTAAATAAGCAATATCGCTCCAATGTTCTTTTACTCACTTAACATACCTTGGTTCCTTATGCTGGAAGTACTCAGATCTTCGACAGTTTCTGTTATTTGGAAACCTCTCAAACTTACTTTTGATTTTACCTGCCAGGGGTGATGATAAATTTGTTCAACATTTTTAGTTTGCAATATTTTTCACAGATTGTAGAATAAATTTTGATTTATCTTTTGAGTCAACGTATATCGGAATATCCAACGTATACCTTACTAGAAACCAGGAAGTTATTAGCGATGACCAAAATTTGGTTTAGTTGAATAAGGCAAACCTTATAATGTTTGCCCATTTCGCATCCAAACTCATTTCTAGCTTGCAAAACTATTTAAAAAATATAGGGACTTGTTGTATGTAAAGCAGTTATCAGGTCGACATGGTAATTTTGCAACAGGGTCCTATTATATGTAAAGCAGCTATGTTAATAGCAACACGATAGCTAGTTAATTTTGCAACTAAAGATAATATTTTACATTTTGCCATCAACTAGGGGCAAAATACTTCAAAGTCATCTTTCCAATGTCCTAAAGATACGAAATTCCTAAGCTGAATTAGTGAAACTCCCACTTAAAAAGTAAAGCTTGCACTTTATTTAAAAGAGAAAAAAAAAGGTCTAAATTGTGATTTAACTTTCTGTACCGATTCGAAAGAAAGCGCATTCGAAAGTATCGAAAGCAGTGGGTCGGACGAAGAAGACGAGAGGAACGGACTAACTGACCTCATGTCCTACATTTAGGTCCAACACAAATAGGTAGGCGGAGACTCTGATATATATATCCTAATGGAAGATCGTTCAATCACGGCACTTTCCCAGAGTCAACAGAGCAGCACTTTTCTCACTTTTTTCTCTTCGAAAGAGACTACTTTTCATTCCTGCTATTGAAACTCACCGAAGAAGATATTCTGTCAAGCTGGTAAATATATTTTTCTTTCTTCTACTTATCCCGTTTGTAATAATTTTGCAAAATGAAGTATACTTAACTGAAAATAAAATAGTGCTTATTGTGTTTATTATGATTTTAGAACACAATTAAAGTTCTAAAATCTAAATTTGGGGAAATCGAATGATTGAACAAATTCAATAGGCGAGAGATACTGTGATTGACTTCTCGGTTCCATTCATATAATTTGAGTTACTTATGAGTGACTGATTAATATTTTAGAATGTTTTCACCTGGGCAAGTCCTAGGTTTTCGCTAAGAAAGCACAAATTTCCCAAAACTATCATGAGAAAGAATTATTTTCTTGATTTTTAATCAAAATATCCCTTGTACTGTATACCTGGATTTATGTACTTTTAATATAATGCCTTAATTTCTGGGACAAATTTAAAGATACCTACATATATATACGTTCTTACAGACATCATAAAAAATATTCTAGGCCGTACACATACGGTCTTGCCGATCAGAGAGTTTTAAGGTCGTGGACATTAAATGCGGCTTATGTATTTCCCTTTCAATTCACAGTTCATTATAACGATGAGGTATCAGTATAAATATTATGTCCAATATTAAGCTACCATTTGAGGGAAAAAATAATTTACTTGAAAGATTCCTATAAAAGGTTTAGTATTTTAACCTATAGACATATGGTTGATATGTAAACTATTTTTCCATCACACCTCAGATTTTACATTTTTGTTCTCTGATTTCACTCAAAAAAACAACATCTGTAAGATCTCTCGATCTCTTGATTTTGAAGGTAAAACTTATGAACCCAGATTCCCTTCCCAGGTAATTAAAGATTTAAGCAAAGATTTGTTGTCGGAGCTTATGTAATTTTACATTCACGCAGTGCAGGATTTACGTATAAGCAACACAAGCTTACCTTAGAATCCCCAATTTCCTGACGGCCCTCCAAAAAATTTAAAATATAGTGTAAATATAGTATTAAAATATAGCATAACAGATTTATAAAGGGCTCCATATCTCAAATTGCTTAGGACATTAATCAAGTCTAAATCCGGCTCTGCATTCATGTCATGTGAATACGAGCCAGTACATTGCTGAAAATCCTACGGGAAAACAATTCTTCCAAAATGATTTTCAGTTCTTCACTCTTATTCCTAACGTATAATGCGCCAATGTGCATAACTATTCCATATAGTGTTATGATTTCATAAAAAAGGCGAATTAGAAATCTACCTAAATGATTCAAATAAATATTATATCGAAGCTATAAATATTTTATCCCAAATCGAAATTGTAAATGTCGTCCAGGTAATTCTACAATCACAGCCTCTCGAAAAATGTTTATTATTATCATAATGTAAGCTTTTACGCAAATAAATTCACAGTACGGTAGAATCTTTTTTTACCCGGCAGCAACGGGACTTCCCGGAAAACAGACTTTTTACCGGATAATTGAAAACGCCCTTCTAGAACTTAATTTTTCGTGTTTTGTGATGTTATCTATGGAACTGCAGCATCTAAAAATCTTTGGTTTTAATAAAGCGTCCATCATTAAATAAATAACATCAAAAAGCTTACGAATAATTTAAAACTAAAACATGATTTTATATCTCATAAAAACAAAATTTAACAACATTTTAAAATTACCACATATACTATTATGCGAATGCTATGAATTGCTCGGCACGATGGCATATAATTATTAATATCTGCCTGCTTACCAAATTGTTCCCGTAGTTTTAAAAATTCGCTGTATATGCAATGAAGTTTCGTAGCATTATATACTCACTGACATACTCGTAGATGTACTTATGAAAATCTGCAATCCTCCGTCAACTTTTTTTTCACATACTTTCTTGCTCTCGTGTCGTCTTTATTTTCATCCTTCTCCTCATCATCCCCACATTTCTTCTTTCCCGGTACATCACTAATTACTTCATCTTCATCCTGAAAAAGGGACGGAAACAGAACTGCCTACATACATCCAAAACCTGAACTTCGCCTTCATTAACACTAATCTTCTTCAAGCATTAACTAAATCCACGATGTCAGTCAGGGACGTTCGAAGTGTTTTAAAACAAAGAAAGTCTTCGTCACTGGACTCGTCAATCTGCGAATGTTATAGGTCGCACTTTTACGTTAAAAGCGACGTAGTGTTCATTACACCTTTTCATTTGGCGTTTTTTCAATGTGAATTGTTGCTGAAAATCATGGACCCGACTTACATACGTCAAAGCATAAAAAAAGGAGTCAATAGTTTATCTTTAAACTCTGGATAATTCCTTGGTTCACTGATTGGGCAAGGCTTGTTACGTTGGACAGTAGAAATATAACACAAATTTTTTTTATATTTAAGTCTTTATATTTTTTAATTCAATACATTCTTTTTTAATATTTCATAGGCCTAAGTTTCTGATTTAAATTTAGACCTTCGAAAGTGCCGTTATTTTGATATCACTGGTTAATTGTGTGCCAGTTACAAGAGATTTAATTTACTGATCACCTGCTTACTCTGCTTAGTTTCACTATGCACATTCTTTGTGTAAAGTGTTCAAATCTTCATTATTTATGAGACAGAGAGGATTTCGGCCTATCCGGCGAAAAGCTAAAACACTCGAGTTTATGTTAGATATGTTTTGACCTAATGTAAAAGATATATTTATAAAACTTAAATAAGAACTTAATAGATATAAAGTAGAGGTCTTCAGATTTACTCAGTGTGAGTCCACATAATAATAAAAAATTCAATATGTATCTTTTAGATAAAAATAATCGGAATTTTGAATATATGAATGATTTATACTATTATAACAAAAGTAGACTTCTTAAAGTTTTAATTAGTCAAAGTTTACTAATGTATCTTAACTATCTTTGAATTTTTTACTTGGATTAAATAATTACTTTCTTCATTAAACATAATTATATCTAAATTTTTCTCAATTTACCCGCTTAACATCTATCAACAAATACTCATGAAAAACATTCAGGCACCAAGATAGGGCCTTCCAGCGTCGGAAGCCCACACAATTACCCTACATCAAAAATTATATTTCAATGAAACAGTTAGCTTTGAACAACTCATAGTTCGGGAGCTATGAGATTACTGCGATCCGATGATGTTAGTTCCATTTTCAATTTGCTTCAATGTTTAATTTTTCGTAGAAGATACAATTTTAAGATAAGTACTCACAATACGATTCATTTAGCAGAGGCTAGTAGATGTTACCTTTGTACCTCAAAATTAATCAACACTTAAAACTCAGCATTTTACTTCAGCTATTCAGTCGTATAAAACTTTTTATTCAAAAATTAGCACAAAACTTCTGCTCCATTTGACCCCAATTCGTCTCTGGTGTTTTCAGGCAGTTGCCAGAGAATTAAATGCAATAAGAGCAGCTAATAATTAAGCAATAGGAGCAGACGTAAGTCGATTTGCAGAAGTTCATTTATAATTTGATTTCTTAAAATACATACGTATGCATGTATGTATGTAAAATTTCTTTTTAACTATCAAACACATAATTATGACTAGCTAATCACTTATTTACGAGCACTAACTGGCTCTCATAATTTCTCCATTCTAATTACTAATCTCTTTTTCCGCATCAGTCTTCAAAAACACCATTCACAAAGAACGCTTTCCTAATGCAGAAATTAATTACATATTTAAACTCCAAAAAGATCATTTCAAATAAAGTCACCGAAAGGCTTCTTTAATGCAGAATCTATAAATCGATACTTAATAGAAATAAAGAAAACTGCTGAGTATCATTATCGTCGAAATACGCTTCCTGCCGACGTCTGCCTCGAGGCCAATTTCGCAAGCAATCTTGCTTACGCAAGTAAAATATGAGACATGTTTCCATGTAGCTGAGAAAACGGCCCAAAATGAGCATTTAATTCATATAATTTCGTACGGGTTTATTGCTCTTATTGGTGCGCTTTTTGTTCCCTTTTCTGACTCTGATAGTTAACTAACCAAATCCGTCCTCAAAATTCCTGAGTAAATGATGCTGAAAAAGTGCTCAGCAGTCGCTAATACTGGATAAATTTCATTACTGTTCTTCAGTGAGAACTCAAAATTCAATTTCTAGTATGCGTTTTACTAACATTTTGTAATAATGTAGGATTTAAGATTAATAATAACGTAAGACATTAGGATTTTCGATGGCAGGAAACTTCAAAAAATATGCTCCTTCGGATTTTCTAGGTGCTATTTAAACGTGTTAACCGTTAAGAAAATGCTCTAATTCCTCATATTCACCTCCACTTAAAAGGGGACTAAGAACAGACGCAAAACCCAGTCGACTAAATCTAAGTAGGGACGAATCACCGTCCATCACATTTCAGTTCGGACAACACTGCAGAGATTATCAGATATTTTGAATGAAAAAAAAATTCAAAAAATCAACTTCGTCTTCGTCAAGATTCTAAACACAGCTATTTCAGGTACTAGACGGACATGCTAACCATTTACATCAGGAAAGGACGTTTCAGAAAGGCGATAATTCTTTACAGTAACAGATAATCGCTTTGGCAATAACTCCTAGATCGTTAAACATGTCAGCTTTTTGCCAATAGTCTAACAAATAAATGACTAGGTTACTTCTTTGGCAATTAATTGCCTGTCAAATCCTTGCTGACATCAAAAACGCTCATCGCAATTATAATTAAAAGTCACTTATCTAAACCCATTATCTACAACTGACAAATCAAGCCAACAATAAATAGAACAGCTTCTAGCAGCAAAATAATGTAGCACAATAATGCTTCTTGAGGTAATATAAATGCCCAATAATTTTTTATGCTGCTGTTAAAGCCGATGAATAGCACTAATCGGCTTTCTCACCCATACATATGGCAAAAACTTATCAGTATGGGAGTTTTCGTGTTTTCCCCCATCTGTTAGGTGCATACGAGTCAGTTTCCCTTACAAAGTTCTTAGACAGATAGTCCTCCAGTGCTTTGTCATAATCAATTATATATAATAAAGTTATATAATATCATAGTTAAAAAAATACCTTCATATAGACAATAAGAGTACTCAGAATTTGAGCATTTCAGAACACGAAAAATTTATTTAAATTCACATGTATTGTCACACGAACTGTAATACCCAATCAAATTCAAATGCAATACATATTTTTCGTCAATTAATGATTAAATGAAGATTCTTCTAAAACCAAATACAGGAGTTAAAAGAATTTAAATTTTTTAAAATTTCTGTTGCTAATAATTAAAGTCATCTTTCAACTAACTCAACTAAAAACACGTATTAATAGCATTTTATGGAAAAATATAATTCAGAAAATTTACAAAGAAAAGAGACGTAAGTTTAAAATTTTATTAACTGGTTACAAGTAGCATTTATTTTTATTAATTTTCAGGTTTTGAATTTTTAAGCATGAAATACAAAAGTAAAAATACTGACAAATTATGACACGAAAATTCACTTCAATTTTATATAATCGGAAAACGTATATCTGCGATCATGCGATAATTTGCAAATGCTTTATTTTTTTATTTTGATATTTTGTACGACGATGTTTTAAAACTGCGAAATTTTTTGCACAGTTTTATTTTTTGCCACAAGGTTTTAGAACTGGGATGTTTAACATCGAAGTCCCCCCCCCCCCATGTTTTATAAAACGACGTTTTCGCCTTATGTAGTTTTCTTTGCGATGTTTACGTTAGCGATATTTCTGACAGACACCGAAGAAAAAGCCGGCTGTTAAATAATAGTTATGAACTTCTTTTAAAGATGTTCAGTACTTATTTTCATTTTTTAAACACGCAATAAATGAATACAACAGATAATTAAAAAAAAAAAAAAGAGTAAAGAATATAAGATAAAAAAAATCTGAAATGTTTCAGATTTTAAATTACGGCCAAAGGGGCGTTTTTTAACATTTTGTGTGTTACCTTTCTTTATTAAATATCATGTTCCTCGAACTTAAACCATAAGATCCAGTGCAACAGCAATATCGCAAAATAGTTTTAAAACGAGCATATCTTTAGAATTTCCGATACAGAGACTCACGCGCTGGAGATAAAAATGTTTTTTCTGCACAACGTTGCCATTGCTCGCTTTGAAATCCTTGAGTTTGTTAATCAAAAATTCGTCAAAGTTTTAAAAATAGGAAATCGATCATAAACAAATTTCAAATTTCAAATTTGGTCTTCCGCATGCTCATATTCGTTGGAGGATTACGTTATTCAAAATTCGATGACTCTATGTACCGTTATTTTATGACAATGTGAGAAATATACATACATTTACGCAGATTTTCATTATTTAATTTCTTCAAATATAATGCAGGACTCTAACATTTTATGGCAACAGTTTGAAAAGTGAACCGACATTTATCCGTCCGACGCAAAATGCCAAAACGAAACTAATAGTCCTTCGGGATTCAAATTCCTTTGGACTAAAAAGATTTTTAAATTACGTTTATATTGATGTTTTTTTTTTTTTTTTTTTTTTCTTTGTTGCAAGCATTTTTTCTCACATTTCTTTAAAACATTTTTATCAACAAATTTATCGAGTGTTACAGCCTAAATAACAACAATCGAAAATCGAAACTTAAATATCACTTACACCTGGTGTCAGATGAAATCTATTTTATACTTTTCAAACTACAGAAGCAAAATTTTTAATCTAATCTAGTTTGTTCATTCATTTATACGAAATGAATATACGAAAGAAGTTTATTTGTTTTAAGAATTAAGGTAAAGCACATGAGACCTATCTGTCTAAGAGTAAAAATGTCTTCGTAAATATTTTATAAGAAAGGATGGTCTGCATCCATGCTACTCGTGTGGAAAACCATGGAAGCTTGCATGCAGTCAACTCGTTAGCCGTATTCGAGTCCGGGTGAATTCCACTCTTTGCGTAAGTGTGTGATTGTTTACGACAAGTGATACGCATTTCAGAACAATATTTATTGCTGCCTGAGAAGCTGCATTATTCTTTAAATAAGAAATTATAGAATTCTAAGTATAGCATTTTAGAAAATCTGAACAGTTGTAGAGACATTAGGTAATTTCGAAGAGAAGAGACGTGAATCACTTAATAAACCTTTTCGGTCAGTATATCTGTATGTTCATAAAGTGATATAACTTCAGAAGTAATAAGAAAATATCTAAAAATAAAACCACCCAAGGGGAGACGATGAGAAGATTTTTTTTAATGTTTCGGAGCTAGTGGACAACATATGAAGCCCTCAAACTTTTATGATATATAGTAATTGAAGCTGAAACATATTTTATTTATTCTTAAAGAATATGCTATTATGCAGTAACCGCCTACTAATAAACTAGCATAACTAGTGAAATGTTCTTTAAATAGTTTTATATTAAATGAATTATTTAACAGATTAGAAAGTATATTCTAATAGCCTTCAAGATCTTAAATCCCTTTTATGAAACGATTAAAATCTTGCAAATTTTGAAAAACAGTGGGTATCTTTGTCCGCAGAAAGTATGCAAACTGATTTTTAATGCATCAGCTTAATAAAATTTAATTTTGTGATTATATAAATTATATTTTAATGTCATAAATAAACTTTAATGAAGTATTTATTTATTTGCAGATCATTCGTCGCATTACTAGATAGCAATTCATGCAATTATGAAAGTTATCGACAAACTAGTGCCTTACCTTTCGATGTCATTGTCAACCATGGTCATGGCACAGTTACCATTTTTTCTGCAGCGCTTCAGACCAGTCAGACATGGACTTTTAGGATCTGCATCATCTTCATATCCTTCATTATTTTCACCTTTCTCAGCTTCTTCCTCCCTTTCACCCACTTACGGCTCACCAGGACTTCTGGGATCTTCAAGCTTTGGATCCTCTTCTCTCGGATTACCTGGAGCAAATTCCTTGTTTCTTGGATCCCCAGCATATTCTTCGTCAAGTTTTGGGGCTTCACCATTTACAAGTTTTTCAGCTGCGCCTTCCTCCTCTAATTTACCATCATCTTTATTTTCGGCATCGAGTTTCGGTGTACCATCTTACGGATCACCGAGTTTCAGCTCATCGCCTTTTGCATCAGCAAGTCTTCATTCTCCCACTATTGGATCTCCAAGTCTAGGTGCACAGAAATTTGGATCATCGGCTTTAGGGTCTCAGTCTTTCGCAGATTTAGGAACTATCAGCAACTTCGAGGGATTTGGAGGATTCGATCACGCTGATCTCTTCGATGATTATCCCGGATTTTCTAACGTTGGATTTGCAAAAGATTTGAATTTTGCTGGATCCCAACAAGTCAAGTAAGTATAAATTTTCACAACAGATAAAGCTTTTGCACTTAGCTAAAAGGAAAATGTCCGCCGAGTAAATTTATAAAATTCTTTGAGAAAAATACATGATAATAAATGATTTCATATACATTATTTAAACTCGTTTTATCGGTTAGAAAACATTACTTTCTATAAAACTAACTATTGCTATAGAATAATTATTTAAATGTAATCGCAATATAAATTTATTTTTATAGTTTTGACTGTGATATAAACCCTGCTAAGCAATTCTGTTACTTAGATAATACACTGCAGGGCATTTTGAAAAAAATTTGATGTTAGATAAAATTATTCAACTGCTGTAGCAAATTATCAGTCTCGGTTTATTCAAAGCACTCTTTACTAGAAATCATAAATATTTTTCTACGAATTAAATTAAAAATTATCTTTCGCAAACAGTTAAAGTAATGTTTGAATTGGTAACCACAGTTTTCTGGATGGAGGGAAGTGATACATTAAAATAATGCTCTTCAGGGATGCTTTAATTTTAGATACCATCTTCAAGAGATACAATCGGGAAAAATAAAGCAACTGCACCTAGACGCTTCGTAGCATTCAAATGAAATGAAGCAATAAACCTTTAACCCACTGAAAGCTCAAATTTTTATGCAAAGTTCTTCTATTGTCATATCCAGACAAACAAGCTGGCTGCATGGGTACTTTCATGATTTCCCCCTTGTGCAATTGTGAGCACAATAACTTGCCCTTTATAAAGTCATCCACGAATGCATCTTTCTCGTTTAGGTGATGTGATGTGATGTGTGTGATTATGGCAAAGCCTCGAGGGCTATCTGCCTAAGAGGAGGGATGCCTTCGTGGAGGACTTTCTAAGGGAAACTGGCTCGTATACACGTTACACATGGGGAAAACCACGAAAACGCCCATACAGCCAGCCCGTTCGCGGGATTCGAACCTCGAACCGAACTACCAGTGTTCAGCGACTTTACCGCTCGGCCGCTGGTGGGCGCTTTCTCGTTTAGGCAAGCAGTCAAAGTGTTGCCGTAATTAAATAATCCTGTCTAATCTAAACCTTTGCGTCGTTGACGATATTGAGCAGTATTCTGGTTTTGGGTTTCAACCAACTATTTCCCCCCCCTTTCTTTTCTTTTCTCTTTTTCTTTTTTTACTTTGCTTTGTTTCTCTTTCCTTCCATTTTTTTTTTTTTTTTTTTCAGAAATTTTGTTAATTTTTCACTGCTGTTGTCTTGTTTCAGAATCATACCAGAATACCTATCAATATTTTGCGGCTGAAAAAAATTTTACCTTTTTCTAATGCAACATATTATGATGATATTAATGAGCAATTCGACACGTGCCCACTTAGGTTTGATTCACACTCTAAAATAGCTATCCTGAGATATTTTAGCTATCCTGAGTGCTAAAATAGCTATCCTGAGTGCTTTGGAAGAACCCTCGTTCATTCCCAGTTCTTAATTTATAGATAGCAGCTCCATTTTTTGGTTCGCTTAATCAGTCTTCCTGTTTTTCCCTCAAAGTGCCATGAAATAGTAATAATATAAAGGAAGCTACCAATCAGGCGTCTTTTATATTTTCACAGAATTCCATGTGCTCCATGAAATATATTAGACACTAATTATCTTGTTCTAGATATTTACATCAATAATGAAAATGTAATCAAAATTCGCCTTTTCATCCCTTAAAAAAATAAAAAACACACTTTTAAAGAACGGATACTTGAATCCTCAATAGCGTCATAATTTAGAATTGATGGAGAAAATGTTGCACAGAAAGATAAAAGCAAATTTAAGTTGATGAGATGTCCTGAAGTTGATGAAAAGAAGAAAAAGGCAATAACTAATACGTAATCTTAATATTCTTCCATCCATTAAATGAAAAGAACTGCTCATTTATCTCTTAAAGGATTATAAATTCTCAAGCAAATTTCCTTATGTCCACAGTCCGTTCTGAAGACAATATAATATTTTTGATTGAGCTTCCCTCAGAAGGCCTAGATGTTACCCCACCCCATTGAAAAAATATAAATAAATTTGAGTTTGGGTGCCAGCATGAAAAAAAAAATTACAATACCTAGACATACGCAATAAAATGGAAGCAGTGTACTGAGAATTGTGATTATTGCACAAAGAAATTAACCTTGATTAATTTAACATAGCAAACCACTTGAATGTTTGCTTAAGGAGATACTACATCTTCATGTAGGATTCTGTGAGAAACTGTTACACATGAACCACAATGGAAAATGAAATGCAATCAGATTACTTGATCGCTGAGTATCGAACGGGGTAATAATTATTAGTATTCTGGCCTATTAGCCACTACTGCTGACCTGTAGAAACTAGTTAACTATATCTTCCTTGGTTCAAGACTTGCTAGGGCAAAGCTTCACAAAAGAAAATTTAAATTCATTTGAGATTTAGATAAAAATTCGTTAAACTGAGGTACTGTTTGCTTTGGGTATACTATACAATTTCTAAATTATTTTTGCAGGATAAAGCTGAAGTATTGGAAGTTTAAGTTAATAACTAAGAATTAATAGCATACCGAGCATATAGGAAAGCCACAATATTAGAACCTATAGTAAGACCAATGCGACCAATATGTGACCAATATGCCATATTCATGTCATATTATGATCAAGAATCTAGTCGTTTGTATCACTTGCAATCAAATCCATCTAGTCGTTTGTATCACTTGCAATTTATTTTTTTTTTTTAATTTTTGCATGATTTAATCCAAGACGTACATGCTTGATGAGGATATGTACAATGGTCTCAAGATAATAACAAAGCAATGCATCAGATAAAACTTTTCGTTCGCAGCGAACAGATAATATGTTACTTTTGCAACTCAAAAGATACATACAATAACCAAAACATATTTGATTTTATGGATCGAATCGAAAGGATCCGTCCGAAATTGCTCAGAAGGATTACACTATAAATCACAAGATTTCCTTTTTTGTCAAAGAAAATCAGTTACAAATATTTGAAAATTTTACTGGTTAAGAAATACATTTTGTGGTAGGATCGCCGTGCCACCTGCTTGCATTAAGATTGTTGTCTGTAGAATGGTAGCCATAAAAACATTAACCAGTTTTAGGCCTATTACAAATTTCTGTTGGATCCTGTAAACATCTGCACGTCACGTAAAACAAAAGATTAGTAAGCTGTAAGATATGTAGCCTTCCTGTATTGTAACTTATGCCCAAATGTAAATAAGACTTTAAGCGACTTATCGCCATGTCTTAATGTAACAGAGACTTAGTAAGGGTGTAAAATACCCTTTATTTTAAACTAAAACGGATGAACATAATGGCTTACAAATCAGCCTGTATTTATGGCGAAAGCTCAAAACAGAAATTGAGTGTGATTCTGAATCTAGGTAGCTAATAGCCAAAAACTGCGCAAAGTAAATAAATCCGGAAATTGTCTTTAAGACTATCACCGATTACTATCGGCAAATATAATGGACGGCTGAAGACCGGAACTCTTATTTACAATAAAAATCCTAGTAATGTAGCCTTCAACAGGCAGAACACGCTCCATCTAAAACAACCTTAAACCCTCACTTATATACCTGCGAGTTAATTTGCATTCCGGTGGGAAAAGAGAAAGAGACTAAGCTTGAAGTGATATGAAAGTTCTCTGATGTCTGCATACATGTGATGTCGAAGTGCTTCAAGAAGTAATTATAAAAAAAGAACAGAGAGAGAGAAGAGTAATTCTTAGGTTTATAGTAAATGGCTTTCAGTGATGTTGATGGACTTCTATACTCTTGAGCAATATTTGCATTTAGTTTAGGATACTGAGAAACCTGGATAATATCTTGGATAACATCATCAATCTGTTAATTACTTTAACTTTGTTGTTAACGTTTGTTGATTCTGAGTTTTCTAATATGACTGATCACTTCTGATAGAAAGGATAGATTGATATTGTACATTTTGTTTGTGGTAATGAAAGGGTGTGAATATGTTGCTAGTGGAAAAAGAGGGATTCTTAAAAGTCTGATAGAAATCCTGTGTCATACATTTGGATGGTGGCCTTGTTTATGCCTATTTAGGAATTCATTTTATTGTATTACTTTCAGCCGCTCTTAAACAGTATAATGGTTAGAAACATTGGCTGTCGTACCGATGAGCTCAAGTTCGAATCCTGGAGAAGACATGGATGGTTTTAAGCGTAGACTATCTGTGTAGCATGAAAGCATTTAAAATCATGGCAAGCCGAAAATCCTCTCGAGTAGTTTAGTGATTAAAGAAGGGATCTGGCGGACTTCCGAAACCTCCCTCAGGCTGTTCTTCATCAGCACTATACCTGGCGGGACTGTGCCTGTTCTACCCCCCACCCAACGGTGAAAGTCTGGTGTTCCGATCACTTCTTTACCTGTATTACTTTCAGCCTTCTAACTGCCGTTTGTAGCAGCTAGTTATCTACGGAGTGAATCCTTGCGGGTGGTCTACAGATGTGCTGCGCGTGGATTTTATCACTTTAAGCTACCCGTTTCGAAGCCATGCAGTAAAATACGCTACCACTAGGGACTCCTACAATTTATTTACTCCACCAAGAACCTCAAGGTTTTAAATCATATTAATTTTTAGCCCAACATAAAGAAGCAATTTCCTAGTCCTTTTCATGGTACTGAGAAAAGGATCTGGTCTGCCTAATGTGAAAAATCTTGTCTAACTTATGCGACTGGACTATTTACACTACGACAAAGTATAGGAAGCCTATCTATCCAAAGGAAGGAATGCTTTCTTAGATGATTTTTAAGGAAAATTGTCTTTTAAGTTACACATGAGGAAAAAAACACACAAAAACTTCAGTGCAACCTCTCATGCAGCCAGCCCGTTCGCAGGGATTTGAACCCCAGTCGAACTACCGCCATTCTTGTCGCGTGGCTAGTGTTGGACACGTCTAACATGCAGAATAACAGTAAGACCTATTTTTATATCCCATACCAATTATTCTAGACAAAGAACCTAGACAAAATTATTATGAGATTTTGACACTAGCTCGGTGGGGAGAAAGCTTTTTCCTTATATAATTGGTCTATTTGCTTCAAAAGCCATATCTAGCTCATTTAAGGTTAAATAGCGATCCGACTTACTACTGAATTTATTTGATAGTTTTGGGTCACCACACCGTTTGATCTCCTGAGAAATTTCTATCCTCGCATTTCGTAAATCAGATCTCAATTCAGTCTCCCAACGTCACATAATTATTGACAAATTCTATCACTTAATAATATTTCTAAATAATCTAAATAAAGTTTTTTTTAATACTTTAAAACTTCCAAACCACGAATCACTTTTTGCTTCAAATGCTTTTTAAACATATGTATTTCTTTTTTAATATGTAAAGACATTAGGTTAATTTTTTGGAAGCAGGAGTCATGAAAAATGAGCAACGCCTTCGTCGGAAATCGAACCACCGACCTCTGGAATACACGCCCAGCGTGCACACCACTACACCATGAAAGCACGCTAAAAAGGCGGGATAAATACCTTATAAATGTAGCTAAATAGTAGGTAAATAATGTAAAACGCAATGAGAAACGTTGTCGTTAATTTACTTAATAATATAATAACCGAAGTTCTCTTTTCATTTGCAAATATACTGAACGATAACTTTTCTTTCAGGTTTCAGACTCCAACTCCTTCATCGTTCAATAGTGAATACGCCTTTCGTCGAAGATCAGTAGACAAACATTAAAGCTCAAAATTGATGTCACCTGGTGTGACATCAAAAAGGTATTATTATCACTGTATCTCATAAGTTAATTCATTTCATGTTTCACTGATATTTCATGCATCTATTTTGTAAATATGTTTTGTAATTAATTGTCTGCTCCTTTAATAAAATATATTGTTATTTTTTAAGACTGAAGTACTTCGCTTCTTAATAAGTTTGTCTGTAACCTGCATAGATAGTACGTATAACAACAAAGCTGATTTAAATAGCTGTGCTCGCTTAAAAAACGCAGTGAGAAGAAAGAAAAATGTTTCTATCATGCACTACCCTAAAGTAACAAACAAACAATGCAACATATAATAATCCAAAAGTAACTCCATGTTAATGTGTTCTATTAGGAGTAATTTTCAGTTTTCTAATAAAAACTCATCATTACGATAAAGTAATTAACTTCTATAGAAATCCAAATTAAGAACATGATTATTCAACTGATTTCGAATACAAAACGCAGTACGTTGTAAAACACTCCACTTAAAAATTCGTATTTTTTTTTAAAAGTTGGGCATCAGAAACGTTATTTGTAGAAGTGGCAATAGTATCAAAACTAGTATTATACCACAGCTAGAGACAGGAACAATGAAGCAGAGTGCTCTCAACAAATGAGCGCAGATTTAATCTGACAAGCATCTCACGAATCGTCAGGTGAGAAAAGCAAAAGCACTCACACCAATGGGAAATCAGGGAATGCAATCGCATGGATGGCTGAGATGTTCTTATCTGAAAAAGCATATGGTAGCATTTATAATACTCGTCAAACTTAATATGCTCTCTGATTCAAGTTTTCAATGCCGTACTTCGTATTTATGTTAGTTATCTGCAGCTAAACTGCAACTAAACAATAAATGTTACTGTTATGGCATGATATATGCAAAACTAAAAGGTTGAAAACATGTTCCGCACTGAATGCATGCTGGAATTCGGGTGCGTAGTGTTGCTTAGTGTAAATTAAGTTTTTGAGAGAAATAAATATTGATTAATTATGACTCAGGCATATTTTCAATGAAAGGCAAATTAATTGGTAGTCAAAGAGAGGTCGCCCATGATCTGGACGTCTCTCAGAGTTAAGAGCTTGAAACCGCTTTTTAAACAGTGAAACAATTAGTAGTCAGCCTGGGCAAAGGCGTCTAAAAGCAACAACGGTATCCACAGACTGCATTCTGTTATTGTTGGCTCGATGAAAGAGTGAAATAATGGTAAGAGAAATGGACTGAATTACAACAAAGAACACGAGAGCTACCTGCTTAAGGAAAGGATTTTAAAAGGATGCAACGTTTTTGAAGCATTTAACAAAAATAACTTGGCTACTCCAACTCACTGCTACCATTTCTTTTCTTTATTTCATCTTTTTCAACTCACAACTCTCTCTCAAAAAAAAAAAAAAAAATCTTACTACCTTATACAATAATGCAATACGAATAACATCTCTTAATTCAATATAATAATATTCAATTTTCAATACAAAATTTTATACACAATACAATATACAATACAAGTTTTATAATAATAAGCTAACACTTAACTAACATTAGGAAGCTTCTTCTTGGGGTAAAATTGCAATTTTTGTAATTCCACGCTTAATGATGCCCTTTGCTGTCTGTATTTCTACTACTCTAACCTTACCGTCAACTCCAGGAAAAATTCTTGTAATGCGCCCTAACACCCATCTACAGACAGGAAGCTCATCCTCCTTAACTAGTACTAGCATACCTATTTTAATATTCGTTTGTTCTACCTTCCATTTTGAACGCTGTTGTAGTGTGTTTAAATAGTCCCTATGCCAACGATTCCATATCAACTGGACAAATCTGGTAGTTCGTTTCCATCTTGAGAGTCTGTTTTCAGGTATATCAATTAATTCGGGTTCTACTATAGCATTCAAGGGTCTTCCAATGAGAAAATGACCTGGTGTTAATGCCTCTAAATCATTTATAATCGGAAGATAAGGGAGTAATAGGGCGAGAATTTAAAACAGACTCTATCTTAAGTTACTACTACATTAATAACTTCTCGAAAGTCAACCTTGCATTACCTACAATCCGCTTTAAGTGATATTTCACGGATTTTATTCCAGATTCCCATAGTCCACCAAAATTAGGTGTCCGTGGGGGAATAAACTTCCTTCTTCACCTAAATAATCTGCTAATTTTTTGTCAGGATTTCTAATTAAATTGTTAATTCTTTGCAATTCGGCATTTGAGCCAACGAAGTTTTTTGCGTTGTCTGAGAAAATGATTGAGCATTTTCCGCGCCTAGCAATAAATCTCTTTAAGGTGGCAATAAATGCGTCAGTGGTGAGTTCACTCACTACTTCGAGATGCACTGCCTTTGTTATAAGGCAAATGAAAAGAGCTAAATATACCTTATGAAGAGTTCCTTTCCTCTGTCCCTTGTACCTAATAAAAAATGGACCGCAAAAATCGGTGCCGACATGATTAAAGGGTGAGCTTGGATTTACACGCGCTCTGCAGGTAATGATTCCATAATTTGTTCGATAGTGACTGGTTTATTTTTACTACAAATTATACATTCATGGGTAATCTTTCTAGTTAAATTCCTACCTTGCAATGGCCAAAATTTCTGTCTCATAAAACACAATAATGCTTACGAACCCTATGTGCAAATATTTCCGATGATAATGCTCAGCAATCAGTTTAGTTAGTTTGCATTTAACAGGCAAAATTATTTGATGTTTTTGTGAAAACATTACATTGGCCCCTTGTAATCGGCCTCCTACTCTCATTACATTATTTGCATCTAAAAAAGGGTTCAAAGAAAGTAAATTACTTTTATTATTAATGGGTTTACCTTGTGCGAGGGAGTTGTAATCTGAATAAAAACTACATTTTTGAACCTCTCTTACTAAAAAGGATTCTGCCTCATTTAACTCCTTTGAACTTACTCCTCCTGTTCTTCTCTGTGCTCCTTTCTGTTTTGCACACCTAGAGTTCCAAATGAACCTGAAAATATAACTAACAATACGTAATAATTTTAAATAATTGTTAGTGATATCTAGGACATTATCAATAAATTTTGAAGGCAAAGTGCATAGACAAGCAATGTCAGTTCTCTTTTTCTCAGTTCATTAGAAAATGTCTCTGTTTTTTCTAATTGTTCAAAGTCAATGTTCTTGTTAGGTATGACACCCTCACTCAAGAATGGAGGACCTTTCCACCACAGATCAGCATCATGCAGCTTGTCAAAATTCAGTCCTCGGGAAATAAGGTCTGCCGGGTTCTCCTCTGAACGCACATAATTCCACTGGCATGTCTGTGTTAGGTCTTGGATCTGCAACACTCGATTAGCAACAAAAGTTTTTAGTACATGCGGAGGATTCTGAAGCCACGCTAACACTATGGTTGAGTCACACCACAGACATATTTTGCTGATGTCCAATTTCAATAAAGGCACCACCTTTGCAACAAGCTGTGCTAGCAGTACAGCTGCGCAGAGTTCCAGTCGAGGTACTGTCAGCGGTTTTAGTGGAGCTACTCTGGACTTGCTGCAAAGCAAATGTGAAGATAAATTATTGTCACTTCTACAGCGTAAATAGATGGCTACTCCGTATGCGTGTTCTGATGCATCTGAAAATCCATGAATTTGTATATTCAGAAAAACTATCCTGTAAAACATATCTACTGACTTTCAAATTGTTGATAGATTGCATTGAATCAATAAAAGTTGCCAATCCTTAATTATTATCCTTTCGGGTAGCGGATCGTTCCAATCAAGCTTCAATAACCAAAGTCTTTGGATGAAGATTTTTGCTTTTGTTATCCCTGGACCAAGCAGTCCTAATGGATCATAAATGCGAGCAATATCAGACAACACTGTTCTCTTTGTGTAAGTAGTTGGTTTTCTTGATGGTTGATTTGTACGAAAAAACAATCTATCTTTGGATTCCTTCCATAATAATCCTAAAGTTTTGATGCTCTGATCGTCATCGAAATTACTGAAAGAATATTCCTCTTGTCCATCCGGAAACTGCAAAAGATCAGGATGATTAGCACACCATCTGTGCAGACGCATTCCTCCACGTGAATAATAGGTTAATCAATTGCGACTGTAATTCTTTAGCCTCTATTAGAGTATGGGCTCCTGTGAGTACGTCATCGACATAAAAATCCCTTTGTACTATTGGCGCTGCTAACGAAAAATTGTTTTTCTCGTCTTCTGCTAATTGATTAAGTGTGCGTGTTGCTAGATATGGTGCGTTGGAAGTACCGTAAGTTATAGTCTTCAGTCTATAGACCTTAACTGGTTCTTCTTCACTACTCTTCCATAAGATGCGTAATAAATCTCTTTGATGTTCTTTAATCAAAATCTGACGATACATTTTTACAATGTCTGCTGTGAAGGCAATTTTATGCGTTCGAAATCTGCAAATAATATCAAATAGTTCGTCTTGAAGCTAACCCTCCATTCAGCAGAATATCGTTTAAAACGAAATTCCAGTAGTCGTAGGAGCAGTGGCATCGAACACTGACCCTAAGTTTAGTGCTAGGTTTTCTCGGGTCTGAAAACCCCATGGTGAGGAAGATAATATGAGAAACTAGAGCTATCCCCTTCATCAATTTCTTCGGAATGGCCTAATTTATTGTATTCCTTAATGAAATCTTCGTATAAGTGTTTCATTTCGGGATTGCGAGTGAAGCGTTTAAGTAGATAATTCAGTCTTTTGCCAGCGTTTTCTCTCGATTCCCCTAAAAGGCTAAGTCCTTCCTCCTTAATTGGCATTTCCACTACATATCTGCCATCATCTTGCCTCGTGTGTGTACGAAGAAAGTGCTGTTCACAAAATTCCTCTTCCTGACTTTTCACTTTTTTTGCTTCATTAATACCTTCAATCTCCCAAAACCTTCTCATGTTGTCAGATAAAAATTATCCCCATTTTCCACAAACCCACAAAAATTATCAACACTGCCTTGCTGCGGCATGCGTACTGACGCGCTAACGATGTATCCAAAAACTGACTGATGGAGAATCAGGTCTTGCATATTTATTCTATTTGTTCCTAGTAAATCAAAAAAATATTTCGTTAGATAATAAAACATGTATTTGACCAGGTTTAAAAAACTCTGCATCAGCTAAACCAATGAGTTGCAACTGCTTAACATCAGAAATGTTTGTA